CCCACCCCCCCTTCCTAACCTAACTACTCTACCAGAGCCTCCCGTCTTCACCCGAATAGAACGCCCGGTCATTATAGCTGTATTTGGCACAACTTTCAGCCCAGATACCGCGATAATTACCGGGCGTTCTATTCGGGTCAAGACGGTAGGCTCTGGTACAGTAACAAAAGTAACTCTTCCTTGGCTACCAAATTGCTACCCTACAGCGAAAGAGTCGGGGTGAGAAAGAGAGAGAGAGGGAGAGTCTTCCGCGGGTTAGCAAAAAACAAAATAAAATCTGTGAATTTGGCGGTCTCTAGCCTCTGGCTACCAAATTGCTACCTAAGTTGCTACCCCTATTGTACATTCCGGCATCCACTTGTGTGATCTCATGGTCCTGCCTTCATCAGGCCCGTGCTTCACCCATGTGGTGTCCGGGCACTTGGTGACGCAGGACGGGGACTTCTTCTGTTGTTTTTTTTCTCTCTTCTTCTTCTGTTTTTTCTTTTTTTCTTTTTTTTTTTGCTTCTTTCTGAAACTTGGTGGTTTGGGATGCTGTTCGGGGCACCGGTTTCAAATTCTTTTTAAATTTCAATTCAAATTTTAATGGCATGCCTTTTTGCCAACTGGCAGGGAATGGGATCAATCGGGAATGAGATTCAGGGCATACTCACACGACCCCTTTCATACATGCATCGGACCGCAATGAAGGCCATATACCGCGATGCATCTGACCGCAACCACGTCCGCAACTGAGTCCCAAAAAAACTAGTGTGACTATACCCTGATTTTGCTGGTCGCCTTTCAAAATGTGGAATACCCATCGGAAGACTGAGTGCCTCTTTCAACCCCTCGTGAAGATACTTGAGTTTCAAGTGCACACTAAAGGATAAATTGTGCTTAATTTACACTTACTCGATTTATGGTTCCATGTACACTTGAGGAAACCCTTGCACACGCTGCACTGGAAACCGAACCCCAAGGCTTGCTGATCAATGACGGACGAGGACCGCCTGCTGGAAAAAAAGAGAAACAAAAAAAAGGCCCCACTCAAAGTGCTCAGCAGTATCCGCTCGCAGTTGAAGCAAGGTACCTCAGGGAGGTACCTTGAGTTCAAGTGCGGTTTGCGATTTTGCCCCGGTTGCACTTGAGATTCAAGTGTGCGCACTTGAGAGCAGGAAAGTGAAAAAGTGAAAACATTATGGCGGGGTCATTAGGGAGGGAGGGGGGTGGAATGAAGAATTTTCCGTCAAACCTTGAGTTCAAGTGCTGTGGAACGAGGCCCTGAGCTGAGTGCCAAAGCAGGGTAATGGCCCCGGTAAATTGACACAGTTTTGTAACAGAACAGCGATTTCGTCAAAACGGACATTTTATATTTTTTGAACGAAATTGAAATTGACATTTTCATTGTCATTTTGGGTCAGCAATGATCGATGTATCCGGGACTCCGGACCTGGTTTCCAGCAGTTGTTGCTCCCCACCTATAGACCGGAGCAGCCACAAGTAGGCCAACTAGGGGAAGATGCTCGTATGACTCCCCCAGCCAACCGAAACTGGTTTTTCTTTGAGAAAAGTTCAGAAAACTACGGCGCAGTCCATAGGTGCTAGTGGTGTCTGCTCTTATCAGCATCACTTACACTGGTGGAGTTTGTTTCAAAAAAAAAAAAAAAAGGTCCATGCGGGTAAAGTGGTTGGATGGGTGGGAGTTTATGGAAGAGG